CTGTAAAGTCCATGAATATATAAACACACATGTAGCTTTAACAACAATAAAAATAGGCTTGCAGAAAAAAGGTAAGCATATAGTGGTTATACAAAAAATACTAAAACCCTATATTCTATGCAAATGTAACATAACAAATATTGTTTCCCATTACCAATACTGAGCTCAAACAATCCTGTTTTCTGTTTTCAATAAAGACACAATTTCTAAGTATAGTTAAATTAAAATGAGATATATTTAAACTATCTGAGCACCCCATTCACCTTCTCAACTCCCACTCCATGTGGCTTGGCTGACGTCACACCCTGACCAGATCTCCCAGCTCAGGCCCCACACTGAACCTTGGAATCCCTTCACCGCCACTCAGCAGGAGCCCCCGGGCCCATGTTATCATTGGATGGTGTTCTCCAATTCCACTATTTTCCCTCGTTTTCAACCACATCAATAGAACAAAAAAATCCGTTATCTTCATGTGACACTAAGATGGGTAACAGCAAAGAACTGGCCGTCTGCCTCTGCGGCTTCGCTTTACTTCTGCCAGGCCTCACTGCATAGTAGACGAGGGTTTTATGGCCACACAGGAAGGGCGCACAGTCATGGAACAGAAATACAGAGGCACATAGAGACGCAGATATGGACGGGTGAACATACAACTGGACATTTCCTAATTTAAAAGCATGTGTATATATACACATAATGGGGATGCACTGATTCATTCTGTTTTCCTATATAAAATATTGGCCTGACTTTCTAGAAAGATGGGGAGATCATTCAACTAATGTAAATGTTATTCAGAATTAATTCTTGAATTTGGCTTCTAATTTTATCCATGTAAAATTCATGCAAAATGCATTACATGCTACCATTTACACATGACTACCACTGACAATTATATACTAATAATTATAGTTTATATGCTGACATTATATACTAAGCTTTGCTATGTATAGATTTAATACTAATTTTGTTGAGAGAGTAGTATTAAGAAATTTCTGGCAAAACTTGAATACTGATGTTTAAGTAGAAAAAGATCTCTTTCAGTTCTCCAGGCAAGAATAAGGGCAATTATGCATTTTCCTTATCAAATGCTCAGAGGTTTAGCTCAATTTCAAGGTAGTAAGGGGAAAAGTCATCTACAAAGATTTACCAAATGCCAAGCACCACGTTAGAAGCTATGCATAGTATATTATTCTATCCATTTTTAAAATAACTCTGCATGGAGTAAATGTTTATTCTTAAAGATGAAAAGTAGACATACATTTTTAAGTTATTGTAAGCTCCTTGAAGGAAGAATTAAAATCTTTTTTTATCATTGCCATATTTTTAGCAGCCAGCACAGTTTTATGATTCATAGTGAGTAATAAATGGTATTTGTTAACTAGTTTACCAAGTAATAGGGTTACAGAGCTAGTTGGTGGTAGAGCTAGAATTTTATCTCAGGTTTGTCAGACTTTAAAGTTCAGCCTGTCTGCACCCAGAAGATGGACGAGGCAGGTGATCTGCATTTCCACCNTCTATCTGCACCCAGAAGATGGACAAGGCAGGTGATCTGCATTTCCACATCACCTCTCAAATGCCCAGGAGAGTCGAGATGGGATTCTCTCCTGGGAAGAATGGTCTTGATAGAAACTCACTACTGGCAGTAAGACCAGAGCTTATGAAACCAGCTCCTTGATTCTAAATCACCTCTGAATCTCATAATAGTTGTGTAACATTAGTGAACTTCCTTTACCACTCGATACCTCAATATTTTTACTGTAAAGAGTTAATGATAAGAATTATAATAACAAATATTGTTAAACCCGTGAGAATATGGTGAGAATTAATTGTACCCATACATATAAAGTGTATGGCTATAAAATCAGTAGTCATCATTATTATTTGCTCAAGAGAAAGGATAGCGTCTCAGGTCATACCCAAGAAAGTGAATTCTCCATGGACAGGAGGGCAGATGATGCTGGGCATCACAGTGGCGGGCAAGGAGAGGGTACCGGGGGATGTTCTGGGGAAAAGATTATTTCTGTAATTGCAACATCCATTTAACTCAGTCATCACGGTTTTAAGTGATGCGGTGTTGCTTTAAGCCAGGACTGGTGGAAGCTCTAACACTATCCCAGTAGATTTCAGCACTGGTGGAAGGTTAGTGTGTCCTTAGCTTATGGGTGAGCTGCGATCTCAAGGGCTGTTCATGGGAAGCCCTTTGTTGACAAGTCAGAGGTGGTACCACACGGCGATGGAGAAGCTTCTCTAGAAGGCCGACGACACTGACTTGAATTTTCCCTGGTGCAAGTTTTAGAATATCTAAGCACGGTAATGAGGACACAGTTTATAAATTGAAAGCTTCCGTACTGGTTAGCTTTATGTGGCTTAAGAAAAATATAACAGAAAGGAGTTCATACAAGATGGAAAGGATTGCTTAAGCTGTTAGACTAAAATATTGTATATACCTGATCAATTTTCTATGTGCCCTACTAGGGGGTTTAAGATATTTGTCAGAGTTAGAGAGAGAGAGAGAGAGAGAGAGAGAGAGAGAGAGAGAGAGAGAGAGAGAGAGAGAGTGTGTGTGTGTGTGTGTGTGTGTGTGTGTGTGTGTGTCTCTGTGTGTGTGTGTTCAGTACAGGTCCCAATCCAAGAACCAAGATTTAGCTCAGCCATGTTTGGGGCCCAATGATAGAAGGTCATTTTTGGGAGACAGAAATTTCAGTAAAGACAATCTTTTTCACAATGTCTATTTCTGCTATTTTTAACCTACCTTCTTCAAACAAGTGTAAATTTAAACTGACTTTTAAAAAATTATATATATATATATATAATTATATATTATATATTATATATATATGTATGTGTGTGTGTGTGTGTATATATATATATATATATAT